GAAATTTTTGTTTCAGTAATGCAAGCAATACTAATATTATGATCAAGACAGTAATTTTGCCAGGTTTCTCTTTTAGTAATTGTATTAAAATCATGAACATTGTGTGTTGCAATATTAAGGTAAAGATCTCTAACATAGCTAGATTGTTGATTAGTGATATAGTTCATAGAAATATTGTTTATAAGAACTAAAAATAGAGTAGATAAGTTTGAAGCCTCATCACAAGGATTTTGTAAGAATTAAAGTAGTTCTGTGGGGAAAGATTCAGAATCATCTGAGCATGTTTCATTATTAAGCATATAATTTGTTCTATCAAGAGATGTTGGTGAGAATATATTACTAATGTTCATAGATCTGTAGGAATTAATATAAGTAGGTGAACAAATAGATATATTTGATTGTGATTTTAGGGGAATATCATAAGAATCATATATAGATAGCATATAGTGATTAGGAAGTATTTCAGGTTCATGAGATAGATATACATGTGCATTTGTTTTGTCACTATTAATAGTAATCAAGGCATAACATGCAAGGTGCTTAGCATTGTTTTGTGTTAAATGTTGTAAAAAAGAGTTGACAGTTTGTGGTTCTCTTAATAAAAGAAGTTTGTAATAGATAAGAAATTTGTTGTAGCATATTTTCAAGTTATAAAAGTCTAATGATGTTGGTGATAACTTGATAGGAGTTCTTCTGAAGGGTATTTGCCATTTTAAGCTCGGTTCTCACAGCTGCAAAGGATTTTATAGTCTGCTATATACGTTTGGTCTGGCCATTATTATCTTGGTCCTCCATATACCAGGGTTGGCTGATGTTTTGAGGACCACTCTGACCCAAAGGTCTTTAATATTCTATCCTCAAATCTTAGATTAGCTTTCAGAAGAACTTATTGCTTATTGTTCGTAATTGTTTTTCTATTTAAGAAGTTATTTGTTTGTATTTGTATTTGTGTATAGTGATTGTTTGTAACTATTATTCATATATTATTTTTGGTAATAAGTGTCAATATATAGTCCTACTCTACATACCAGGAGTAGATCCTTATATGGTCTTATTATATCTGCCCCACTATCACACCAGATATATGCTATACTCAGGATTTGCAAGCAGTTCTTCCTAATTGGTGCCCTATAGTTTATTTATACGTATTCGTACTAGAGTCTTACACGCTCTGATTGACTAGACAATACCACTTGCCCTTTGGATTAACCTGGTACCAGCTCAGGATACTTCTAATCATCATTAGTGTGACTATAGATTACAGTATTTGTCTTATGCCAGCATATCCAATTAAGTTGATATCTCCCTTTTTACAGAATCTGCAAGTTTTCAATAATTCAATATTCATCACCTAGTATGAATTGAACTCTAGACCTGCTGCTTGGGAGATGACAACTGGACCACTTCACTAAATCACTACACCCTCTAAGAGTCAGGTTATTGCTCAAAAGGATAAACAAAACAATATAAGAACAAAGAAGATTAATTGTAAGTGGCATATAAATCTCTCTTATAGAGAGACTAGAACTTAGATATCAATCACTACCTTTGTCAACAAGTATAACAACAATATATATATAAAAACATGAGATTTTGGACTCAAATATCATTCTCTTACAAAATATATCTAAAAAAAATAGAAATTATGATGAAATATAGAAACTTATCTATTATGTTACAGAGTAGCCTTTTAAAAGCATATTTTTCTGATTCAAATTTCTTAATAGCAATCTTGCTAATTGTATACAAAAATTTAAAAGAGACAAGTATGAAACAAAAAATGCATCAAAACTTCTTAATTCTTTATTAACTAATAAATGAAGATCCTAGGTAGACTATAGAATTTGAGTTAGATGGAGATAATAGATTTATATGGCTATTCTGGATGTCTTCTGAACAGATCGACTTGTATCTAAAATATTATAATATGGTCATCAGTAATAACACGGCAAAAACTAATCAATATCAAATACTTTTAGGACTATTAGTGGTTATTGGCAATAATACAAAACACAGCTTGTTTGTCAGGCTCTTGTGAGCAATGAAACTCTTAATACTTATAGTTGGACCTTGACTTGTATCAAAAATACTACAAAAATAGACTCTCCGATTATATTTACTGATACAGATCCAGCCCTTGATACTGCAATCTGTATTACATTCTCTAAAACATCTACTACATATTGCATTTTTCATATTGGACAAAATTTACCCAAGAATTTGAAAGCAAAATTAGGTAACAAATGAAAAAAATTATGAAAACCTTTTACCAATACCACAATAGCTTTTGTGAACTACTTTTTCATAAATGTTGAGATAAAATTCTTAATAAATACCCAATAGCAAAGAACTATTTGCTATGTTTATTGCATCCCTGTAATAGGTCTTGGGTATATACTTACCTTTCTAAAATCTTCACTGCTAAGATTGAGAGTACAGCTTATGTTGAATTTTATAATTGGATAATCAAAAAAAAACTAAAATCAAATAGCATGTTGTGTGAACTTGCAAATAGTCTTGAAAAGCGTCCAGAAGCAGAAATATAATGGAATAGATATAATCAGTATAAAAGCTCAACAATATTTGCAACTATGCCAACTACTGGACATGATCTTTTCTCTGTAGTAGTCAATGTTATTGATAAATATCTCATGGAGACAATTAACAATTTAATAAAGTTTAAAATGTCTTAATGTTCATTTCTTGCAGCAAGTAGTATTAAACCAACATCTGATAAGCTTAATTCTAAACAGGAATATATTAAAGAAACTTCAAATAGATTCATTGAAGATAATTATAATATATATAAAATTACTTTAGAAGTGAAAACATACAAGAAATTTAAAAAATTTCTGATATTCATGAAGAAAAAAATATCACATACATTTTATAGTTATAGTTAACCCGGTATCTTTTTTATATTCATATCTTATATCAATTTTAAGAAGTATCATTTGTCGCCATTATTTTTGTATTATGATGCATTCCAAAATTATAGTATTTCATATATCAATGATCTCTTCACAGTGGACAAAGACATCTATCAGAAAAATCTAAAATATAAAAATGAGAAAGTAATATGTATTCATAAAAAAGAAGTTATTAATAAAAGGTGCAATAATGAAGAAATTTTAATTTAAAAACCATCTACAGTTCTGGTTATAGCTTTAGCTATAAGAAAAACCCTACAAAAATAAAATAAATATGGTAAAATTTGGAAACTGGCTTGTGAAGCATATTACTAGCAGTAAATAATTATGATAATGAAATCATTGATATTCTTTAAAACTACATTCTGGAAAAAAAATGAAAAAAAATATATTTACTGGTAATAAACAAAACAATAATAAAGAAAATTTGCTTTTAAGATCAAGTGAAATAGATACTAATTTAGATGAATATCAGCTACATCAGAAGAATCAAATCTCATTCGTGTTATTGGAAAAGAAAAACCTTCCAAGTGTTATTATAAAAGTAGTATAGAAAATGAGCAAACCTAGCAAAGAACTTCTAGAGATATATATAAATATTAGTAATGTGGTGAAGTTGGTCATAATGCAGCATATCACAAGAAAAAGGAAAAGAAAGTAGTAATTAAAAGAAAAAGAAGAAATGTTGCATCTAATTTGCCTTATTTGAAGATAATATTATACATAATTTAATATTTATCGCTATGTGAAAAAATCTAATGTGTACTAATATCTTTATATATATACTTTGCTACATATAAAATCACCTTATACATATATTTTATTAACAGCATATTCTAACTAAATTTAGTAATTTGAGTTTTGAGTGCATATATATATATATAAGTAAAAATAAATCTAAATTAACTTGAAACTATTAAGGTTAAGTTAGCAATTAGTATTAGAGTTATTATCTAAATAGATTTTAGATCAACTTAAATTCTATTTTACTTATAGCAGTAATAGGAACACAATAGATAATACTTGATTGTCGCATTTAATAATCTCAAAATTTTTTATATTTAATAGTTCTATTAGCTTCAAGCTAAAGATACAAACATGCTGATAATTATTTATATTTTTTATACAACCTTATTATTTGATTGTATTTAATTTTTTTTTATTATAGAGTAAGGCCTGGCCTCAGTCTTTATTGAATAATTTATATATTACATTAATACAATGAGTTACATGAATTACTATAGAGACCTATAGCTAGAACTACTTTATTCTCAGCCTAAAACTCTACTACAGTAGACTAACAGACCTCATCTAAATTTATAGTAGCAATGTAGGATATAGAAATATTAGTAGTAGAAAAAATGGTTGCCTACTTATTGAATCTTGTTATGCTATATTGTGATGTAGAAGAATGATCTGAAGGGGTATGGTAAGTGCGTTAGGTATTGCATCCTGCTAATATATTGCTATGCACCGTGCACACTATATTGTTTTGTAAATATTCTTAGAAATCTTATGCAGTAGTTGGATATAATAATTCTTAGATAAGGTAGTCAGCTTCTAGATATTAGATAGAGCAAACCCTTGTATTGCGGCTATGGAAAGAGTATTATTAGGTGGTATGAAAAATCTCTATAGAAAAATTTATGATTTTTAAATTACTTAAAAAATTATTAATAATATAAGGTTTATAATTCTTATAAAAAAATACTCAATTATATATAGTTTATTAACTTTATTAAATTTTTTTAATTTTATTTATTTTTAAATAATTAAATTTTAAAATTAAAATTTTAAAAATTCTAATGTTAAATTTAGTTTAGATTTTATAAAATTTATATGTTTCTGATAGTGCTCCTACAGACTGGACTTGAACCAGACTTTAGTCAAGTTTGAATCTAGTCTGATTTTTAGACCAGACTTAGACTTTTATATTCAAACTTTTTAATCCAGTCTGAGTCTGGTTCAGGTCTAGTCCAAAGTCTGCAGACTAGTCTGGGTCTGAATTTTTTTTATATATACTAGTATTAGAGTTTGTTAGGCTAGCACCCCAAAAATATATACCAGAGTTGTGCTCTGGATGATTATGTAATAGTCCAGAATAAATATCCAGAAAAATTTTTGAAGTTTGATTTAGACACAGTTAATTACATATATTTATTTTTATTAATTATATATTTCATGCAAATATTACAACACATAATAATATATATACAGTTATAAAAGATTAACTAACAACTTTTACATTATTAATTTTGTTTATTCACGCTAATGTTTTTTGATAATTTGTGCATTTTTCCTGAAGTTTTTCTTTTTTTATTTTGATTTTTCTTGAAAAATCTTATACTTTCTTCATTGTACTGATGCTGGTTGTACTCGAATTTTTGCTTTACATTATAATATTTCAGCCTTTATAGTAAAATTCCGTTGATAAGGACAAGAAGCCAGTTTTTCAAATTATAAAGATTTAACTTTTTCATATTCGTAAAATTTTTAATACCAGCAAATAGTTGTCCATATACTGTGTCTTTTATTCTTGAAAATATAACTTTATTACTTTATTTTCTTTGACAATAAAGGTTTGATTAGTTGCATAGTGGTCTTTGATATTTTCTGAAATTCGTTTGACCAATTTAAGGTACCTTCACTACTGTTAAGATCCACATATAAATTATATTAAGCTACCCAATATTCAACTTTATAAGTATTATTGGGTGAAAATTTTTTTGAGTAGGTAAATCAGCAAAATTGAATGAATCAGTTGTACTTTTATTATTATTTGATTTTATTTATTTATATGAAATATGAAATGAAGTATAAAGTGAAATATGAAGCAAATATGAAATGTGAATTAATAAAAAAACTAATTAACCTTAAAAATAATGATAATTACTTATTAATATAGCGATAATTTATTTAATCACATTAATGATTGTTTGGTCTGATTTCCAGACAACCACATGATCATTCGGAGCACAATCTGATACACATTTTTGATTTGCAACAGGCTAAATAGTATAGAATAAATGCTATAAATAAATGTTGCAAAGACTGCTATATAATGATATTTCGTGAAATATATTTATCAAACAAATTAAAAATCTATTAATTGTTGCATATCATGATAATATAGTATGATTCTTTGGAATCACATGAGATCCAAATACCGAAAAATAATCTGTGCTTTTTCTGATCCAAAATATCTCAAAAACTCTTCATATAAATGGGATAAACTTCTGATATTTATAGTCTCGATGTACTTTTCTAAGAGTTATCAAGTGGTTTATCTTCTTTTAGAAATAAGTCTACTTCCAAATTTACATCCTAGTATAGTTGAAATCCGTGATAAATTTTGTGCATACAAATATTCCTAGTAGTTCTGGCTTGTCAAAGTAAACAAGATACTAGTATAGCGATAGATATTTAGAGTTATATTTATGAGAATTTTATTTCGTCTAATAATGCAGCAAATAGTAATGATTTTAATCATTTAAAACAACGATTTAATCAATTACAAGCTGTTAGTCCAGACTATTTAAATTTAATTTTTGAAAATCTTACTATGATAAATAAATACAAGAAAACATTAGCAAGTTTGAATCAATTATTAAAAATTAATCTAAATAATGCAGATGCATTAAGTTATTATAGTATAATTTATAGCATAATGAGCAGATACAAAAAATTACTGGCAAATCTAAATAAATCATTAGAAATCGATCCAAATAGTGCATTTGTATTAGTAATTTGTGGAGAAATTTATCGCATAATGAATAGATATGAGGAATTACTAGTAGATTAAAATAAGTCTTTAGAAATTGATTTAATTAATATATTAGCATTAGCAATTCACAGAATAACTTATCATATAATGAGCAGACATGAAGAATCACTAGCAATTTAAATAAATCATTAGAAATCAGTTCAAATAATGTATTTACATTAGAGCAAAGTGGTATAACTTATCACATGATGAATAGATATAAGAAATTACTAGCAGATTTAAATAAATCATTAAAAATTGATTCAAATAATACATCTGCATTGAGACAGCATAGAGAAACTTATCACATGTTGAATAGATACAAAGAATCACTAGCGGATTTAAATAAACTATTAGAAATTGATTCAAATAATGTATTTACATTAGAAAGCTATGGCGCAACTTATAGCATAATGAGCAGATATGAAAAATCACTAGAAGATTTAAATAAATCATTAGAAATTAATCCAAATAGTGCATTTGCATTAAGTAAGCATAGAGCAACTTATCACATAATGAACTGATACAAAGAATCATTAACAGATTTAAATAAATTGATCCAATAATGCATTTGCATTAGAATAACATAGAGAAACTTATCACATGATGAAAAAATACAATGAATCACTAGCCGATTTAAAGTTTAAATATGCCTTAAACTTAAAACTTAAAAAGACAAGCACAAACATGTTCTCAACAATTTAGCTATATAAAAAAAAGAAAACATAAGACAGTTGTACGCCCAATATAAATAATCAATCCAAAAAGGATGACTTATACTTTAAGAGAGATACTTTATTAAGGTTACAGAAGACCCAGACTAGATCTAGAAGCACTACTTGATGATAAAGTTACTACATATACAAGTTCTAGTTTATTAAATAAATTTGTTAAGTATTAAAAATACATATAAATATATTTGAACTCAGACCAGTCTGCAGACTTTGGACCAGACCTGGACCGAACCCACAATTGAGTCTGAGTCTGGTCTGAAGTCTGAAATTAGTAAAATTTAAAGTCTGAGTCTAGTCTGATCCCAGACTAGACTCAGACCGGACCAGACCCAGACCAGACCTAGAAGCACTAGTTTCTGAAGCTAAAAAATTTTTACTTATAATACAAGTTTAAATTTTTACAACAAAATTATTAAAATTATAATAATAAAATTGTTACTTAAATAATAAATTAATTAATAATAAGTAATTAATTTTTTAAATAGTAAAAATTTTCTAAAATTACTAGTTTTTAAACTAATATACTATTTAAATTTTTTCTTATAAATTAAATTTAAATAATATAATTATATAATTCTTATTTTATAATAGACTATTTTTAACTTAATTTATACCAGGTATATATATATATACTAATTTATTGATTTACAAATTTGTTTAATAAATAAATTGTAAATAAAAAATTAGTATAGTTTAAGGTTAGAGTAAGAATAGCTTTAGGATTAGAGAGGTTATAGTTTATATTAAAATTTTGCAAAAAATTTTTTGTTAGAACCCTGAAGTGGGTTTTATAATCAAAATTTTAAGATATCAATATATATGTATATATACACCTGGTATGCAAATAGTAATTGTCTTTTTAATTTATATCAGGAAATATTGATATCTGGGATATTAAAAAGCTGACTAAAAAACAGAGTTAAACATACTAAGTAAAAATATTTAAAACCTTCAAGACCTTATATAACCTAAATTTAGACTATTATATCTATTCTTATTTTTGTATAAAAATGTATCCTAACCTTAAATTTTAATAAAACTATTATATCTCAAAAACTAACTAAGAAGCAAAATAGTATCAGAGTGTAGAATAGATTTTCTGATTATATAATTATTAGCTATAGAGAATTACAATTTAGTATAATATAATATAATCAGAGGTAACATATAAACAATATTGATCTTGAAAAAATTAGCTATTATCTTGAGAATTCAGCTAAAAAATTATCTTTGTACTTTAATTAAAATTTTTTTTTAAACAATTTTACTAATAATTTTACTAAAATCAAATTTAAACTTTAACACTAACCTAACTTAAACAAAACTTTAAGTGCAATAATGAGATTTTGTCTTTAATTACATGATTAGAAAATCTATTCTATATGCTAGATTCTTCAAAAACAGGGTCAGATATATAAGTAAAAATATCCAAAACCCCAAACCTTGTATAATCTAAAATTTGAACTATTATATTGGTATTAAACTATATTGTAACCTTAAATTTTAGCAAAAAACTATTTTTATAATAAATTGGTGGATATCAATATCTCCTGACATAAAATTCATTTTTACTTATAATATTAGTTAAAAAAAATAAAATTAAATATTTTAATTTTTAAAAAGTTAAATTATAAGTATTTATATTCAAAAAAAATTACTACAAATCACACTGGTAATTATCACTAGTGAATAATATATAATTAGTTATAATATATAAACTTTTTTAAACAAAAGTTTATCTGTTGATATTAGGATAAGAGTAAGGGTTTGATAATAAAGTTAAATAAAAGCTATAGCGAAATTTTGCAAAGAATTTTTTTGCTAGAACCTGAAAGGTGGTTTCATAGGCAAACTTTTAAGATATGATTAATTTTTAAAAAAATTTCTTTGTTTTTGTTACGTGAAACTGTTCTGCACATTACACTCGATCTTGCAAATTAATTGGCTGATTATACACTTGTGATGATCACCAATGATAATAAACAGCAAGCTTCTTTAAAAAATTTGGGCAAGTTTGCCTTAAATTTGCTTACAGGTTAAGGAATAGAGAACATTTATTAAATTAAGTAATTAAAATAAGCTATTCAGGTTCATGATTATTTATTATTTAATTTCTTTTTATTCAATGATTACTTCTATTTAATTTCTTTTTATTCACATTAATTTAGAGAGTGAGTATAATGAATATTTATTGGTCTAATTTATCGTGCCTTTCAAATTACTGTGATCAGCAAATTTCATGTATAACACCGGAAATCAGGAACTGGAAAAAATGCCAGTATATAATTGGTTAAAAATTATTTGAATTTTTTAGCCAATCACATGCTGGCATTTTTTCTAGACTCCTGATTCCCGGTGTGATACATGAAATCTCTGATCACAGTAATTTGACAAGCTCGATAAAATCAATGATTGACCATCATAAATTATTTATTTATTAATAACTAATTAGCCGGTAAGTGTAAAATTATTTATGTAGTTGATACCCTCTTATACAATAGTCGACATCTTTATTTCCACTTATCCACTTTCGAGTCATTATTTCAGGA